AGGCTTTACAGACAAGCTATGCTTTATGATGTACTCTTTGGTTTCCCTGTAGTGGGCTTGAGGTAATGTTTGGTTTACCTGAAGTTTGTGGTGTGTACAGTAATTCTCTGTGAAACTGCTATCTGGTGAGTAAGACTAAGGGCCACATTTTTGAAATAGCCTCCAATTTTGCACCCACAATCAATTGTGGGTGCAATTTTGTGGGCATAAATAATAGCAACAAGACATCTAACTTTCTAATTGCATCCACAACTCAGGTAACCAGACGTCTATTTGCCACTATTTGTGCTCACAGTTATTTTGTCTGCAACTGGTAGGTGCAAAATTGGAGGCCGGATTGAGTCCCCTTGTAAATTTTGATTCTAAGCTGTTTTCCTAGCTTCTCGGGTATATTTGTGAAACGGTACATTTTCCTATCTCACTCTCCCACTCTGGAAGGAAGCCTGTCTACAGGAACAGCATTCTGGGACATCAGTGGTCCAGCTCTCTACCATCCATTGTGGATGGCACCAATCTCTTACCACCTTCAAGGGGGACTTTGTCACGTGAATCAAAGTGAGCTTGATTCTCTTCTCACACTGGTGTAAACCAGGAGTAACTCCACTGAAGTAAAGGGAGATGCACCAGTGTAAACCAGGGAGTGAGATTAGAAAAAGACCCAATATTATTATGCCTTAAAATGTGTTGAAAAAGCAATTATAACTTCTCAACTTTATTGCTGAGCTCTGATTCCTTCATCCCCTACCCGATCCCAGTTGTGCCACAAATATGGCTGAGCTATTTTGCAGACAGAACTGGTGAGATGTTGGACTCTGTATATGTCAGTGAGGAAAGCTGGCCATGCTCAGTGACTGTTCCACCAATAACAAAAGCAGAAGCAAAGTAATGATGTGCAATTTGTTTGCATTCATTTAGATGCTGTTTTGAACTAAGGTGGTACAATCCCAGTCTGATTCCGACGTGCAGAGCAATATCTTGAGCTGTGTTTCTTGGCAACGTTGCTGATTGGTGTAAATCTAGTCCCTAGCAGACATGTGTCAACACTACGAAAAGCAAAACACGACCCTGTCTCTCTTGTGAGGCACGTCAGCTTCCTCCCAGAGTTTTGCAAGGTTTAATTATTAATATTTGTGCAAGGCTGGAAGATCCTTGGAATAAAGGTGCTATATAAATCCAAACTAGTATTAATTATATCATCAGCAGTGGCAGTTTTTGCAGAGAGATGGAGAACTGGATGAGCCTGGAGACTGAATTCATGCCTCTTGTTGCTTTCAGTGGATTTACTCAGGTGCCTCAGCATGAGATCAAAGTCGGGTCCTCTCTGTTTATTCTCTGCATTGTTAAGCTGTGATTTTTTATTATTATTAAGTTATATGGCGAAATGTTGGAATCTAAAGCCACTGTCTTAATTAACACACATTAAACAGGCATTGTTGCACCTGCTTTTTTGTGGCTTACCTTAGGGGCGTTCATTTTAAATCCTGCTTGAGGCTGCTTCTCAGGGGGGGAAAACACATTGACCAGGAAGGGATTATGATAGTACGTGCCTCTGTAGTTCTGTCCCCCTTATGAATGTAGAAATTGGCATAACAGAAATTCTTCTTATAGGGATTTGGGCTCATGTGCCATAAAGGCATCTGAACAAGTGGAAAACCTTCATTCCTTTCTCATGCCTCTCCAGGAAAATGCCACCCCGTGTTTGCATATTTCCAGTGTCCACAGCACAGACTTTAGAAGGGAAGAATTTGCTTGTCCAAAAGTACTAAAGGGGTATAATGAAAGTCAGCTCTGCACATCAGTTGCACCCACAATAAGACCAGAGACCTTAGTGCCAGGAGTCCTTGATTTGTGTCACCCTCCACTTGATTCATGCCAAATATGGTCCTAATTACTGGACATCGCCCAGGAGTTTGTGAATTTCTCACATCCTTTTTAGTAATGACTCAACTGTAAATCAAGCTGGGACCCAAGGGAGTTTCACTTCTAGTGCAAGGGGAGGATCAGGATTCACCAATCTTTTTGGCCACTTGCACTCACTCAAATTCATATTTGGACCCACAGATGAGTCCAATGGGTGGGTCTGAGTGAGCTCTGTTTAGCACAGGAGCCAGGAGATGGGGAGCAGAGGTGGCTTTCTGCCACCTTCCTGCCTCCCAATACTGGGACTCTCCAAGGGCTGGTTCAGTCCCAAACACATAGCACAGCAGTCTCAGCACTGCTCTGATCCAAGTGGCCTTTCTGGCAGCCTAGGGTCCCCAAGCTCTAGCTATGGCCTGACGTGCGGCTTGCCCCAGCGTGAAGGTGGTAAAGTAGAGGCAACAACTGAGGAGTCCCTCAACGGGATGGGTAAGCTGACCAGATGGCCCCATGGCTCTGCCAGAGCAGTACAACGGCATCATAGCAGGCCCAGGGTTTGGCTCTGTGTATGACATTCCTTGGCTTGCATGCATGAATATAAAATTCTGGCTGTGCAGAGTGGTAAGTGCAGGAGGCTCCATCGCACAGTCATCTGTTCAGGGTTGCAAAAATGTCAGGGAGGGCTCAGTCCTCAATCCCACCCCTCCTCTACCCACTCCAGGGTGATCTCAGTCCTCAATCCCACTCCAGGGTGATCTCAGTCCTCAATCCCACCCCTCCTCTACCCACTCCAGGGTGATCTCAGTCCTCAATCCCACTCCAGGGTGATCTCAGTCCTCAATCCCACCCCTCCTCTACCCATTCCAGCGTGATCTCAGTCCTCAATCCCACCCCTCCTCTACCCACTCCAGGGTGATCTCAGTCCTCAATCCCACTCCAGGGTGATCTCAGTCCTCAATCCCACCCCTCCTCTACCCACTCCAAGCTGAGAGCAAAGTCCACCCTTTCTCCAAGAGTCACACTCATTGCCATTAAAGAATACAGAAACAGTACACTTGCTTGGCGACAAGCCATCCATCCTCAATGCGACCTATTACCCAAAGCGCCGTACTGTCCCCAACGACATAGTTAGCAGCCATAATCAGACCATAATCACTGTCTGGATGGTGGCACCATTTCTTACATTAGTAGCTGTGTTGATTGGTTTGGGGGTTGTTTTTTTCTCTCCTTTTCTTCTTAACGCCAGACCTTTATGCGGATACATTTGTTTTTTTCTTATTCCCTTGGTGCTGTGGCAGGTCCAGACACCACCTGCCATTTGCAGTAACACCCCCTTGGCTCCTGCAGTATGTTTACATTGCCATTTGTGAGACTATTCCTGATGAGTGTTTTTGTTACTCTTCCTCTTAGTTATTGCAGGAGAGCGCAACGTGGCCCATGGCCCCTCCCAGTCCCCAGCCACTGCTTCACCTCAGCAGCCCCCACTGATTATGGTCTGTTTTAGCAACTAGACTAATGAATGAGGGAATACAAACTGAATAAGCAGTGAAGGCTCTATTAAATTATTACTATGGCCTAAACAAAGAAGACTGGCAAACGCTTGGATTTAGACCAGTTGTTTAGTACAAGATCTATAGACCTGATCATCTTCTAACACTGGAGAAAACCAGGAGTAGCTCCATGAAAGCAAATAAAGCTACGCCGGTTTAAAGCTAGTGAGAGAAAAATCTAATGCATGGAGCTGGATGGTTTTATATCAGGGGTGGGCAAACTTTTTGGCCTGAGGGCCACATCAGGGTTGCAAAACTGTATAGAGGGCTGGGAAGGGAAGGCTGTGCCTTCCCAAACAGCCTGGCCCCCGTCCCCTATCCATCTCCCACCCCCCCACCCCCCGACTGCCTCCTCAGAACCTCTGACCCATCCAACCTGCCCTGCTCCTTGTCCCCTGACTGCCCCCTCCCAGGACCCCACCCCCCTATCCAATGCCCCCTGCTCCCTGTCCCCTGACTGCCCTCCGCACCCCCCTACCTGCTGACAGCCCCCCCCAGGGATTCCCACACCTATCCAACCCCCCGTTCCCTGTCCCCTGATTGCCCCACTCCAGAACCCCCCGCCCCTAACTGCCCCCCGGGACTCCCACTCCTATCCAACTGCCCCCTGCTCCCTTACCATGCTGCTCAGAGCAGCAGGAGCTCGCAGCCCCGCCACCCAGCCAGAGCCAGCCACGCCACCCGTGCTGCCCGGCAGGAGCGGTGGGTCAGAGCGCTGATGTGGGGGAGGGGGGACAGCAGGGGAGGGGCCGGGGGCTAGCCTCCCGGCCAGAAGCTCACAGGCCAGGCAGGATGGTCCCACGGGCTGGATGTGGCCCACGGGCCATAGTTTGCCCACCTCTGTTTTATATTAACTATTATAAAGTCATATTTTCTGGTTTGAGTTGGAATACGTAGTGTTGCTCTGGTACGTTTTACATGTGAATAGAGAAATAGAGAACACCTGTGCATTCAGTGCCATACGAATGGTTTCTAGTGCACAGAACTGATACATTGCCGTAAGTATAATTTCTACGCAGTCTTGAGTAAAGAGAAATTTGTGACAGAACTCAGGTTATTAGCCCTTCTTAGGGTGTGCAGATGGCAGAGCTTATGGTAAACTTGTCTATTGAGCAGGCGATTCCAATGAGTTGTAAGTGCTATATTATAGATGTGTTTGTGGCTGTCTACCAGACTACAGGCCTGATCCAATTCCAATTGGAATCAAGAGAAACATTTCCATAGACCTCAGTGTGAGGTAGATTGGGACCTGAAACCTCATCTAGGCTACCAGTGGCTGCTGCTGTCATACAATTGGAAGATGAAGCCGTTCAAGCACCACTCCAGGTTCAAGTGTGTTCAATTAAATGAGAGGCAGCCAACAGCAGTAAACTGGAACCCTGTGTGAGGTCTCATCGTGAAGCTAGCAAGGAGAAAACTAGAATGTCACTCTCGAAAGCCTGAAGCGCCACTAATGGGAAACACTGGTCTAGTAAAGAAATGCCAAGTAAATTAGGCCAATCGAGTTATTAAATCAATTTTTAAACAACTTTGTTCTAACGCTTCGATGCAAATGACATTCGTCTCAGGTCTTTATCATTTCTTTTTATGTAGGATCATTCATGAAGATGGTTTCTCCGGAGAAGACGTGAAGCAGTACAAGCCTGTGGTCTATAGCAACACTATTCAGTCACTGGCAGCTATCGTCCGTGCCATGGATACCTTGGGCATTGAATACGGTGATAAGGAGCGAAGGGTAGGTCAATATCCAATTGAAATGATGGATTGAATGATTTGCAAAGAGCTGCTTTGGAGGAAAAACTAGAGATTACATAGCATGAGAAGAGGCATATTTGCACAACCCAAACACATCTAGGGGAAGATTTTCAGACATTTCAGTTATGCAATTGCGTGACTAATTTGATCAGTTTGTGCAAATTGCATGTGCAAGTGGCTAACTTAATAGATTTGCACATGCAGTTACTGATATGCACATGCAATTGTGGTAATTATGGGCACAACTGCCTCTCTAAACAGTATGAAAATGGGGCCATAGGTTCCTTCCATATTACAAAACCCAGCTGTCTCTGGACACGGCAGTGCATGGTCTCTTTTACAGGCCACAAATAGGTTCCTATTCTCCTACAAAGGTCCAAAATACAGATGTGAGCAAATAAACTCATGATAACAGTACAGTAGATATTTTCTACCCATTGGAAATTTGCTTGAGGCAAAAAAAATGAAATATTTCACAGAGAACGTTCTGCTGATGTTCAGGTGTCTTCCTTGGACCTTGTCTACGTGGGAAAGTTTTTTTTCAGAATAATTTTAGTTTTTTCAGGGTAATTGGCCTTGTGTCTGCAAATAAAAATTCTCTATTTTTAATTATCTGATTTCTTATTTTTCATTAACAATCCACTTTGGAAGTGAAATGACTTCTGGAATCAAGGTTTTTTCCCCAGAATAAGGTTTGTGTGGAGGCATGCAGCGGCTGTAGTGTTTCAGATTAACTACTCCACTTCTGGCAGTCTTCCTGCTGCTATCCACACTGCTTAGCTTCTCATTTGCATTGGCATGTCTGTTTACCTGTGTGCCCTCTACTGCTCTGGGGTCATTTGGACCCGATGTCACTTTGCGCACAGCAAGGAGGTCTCAGTGTTGCTGGTTTTTCCATAGGGAAACTAAATCCTGGTGATATTTTCTACCATGATTTACAGAATAGAGACTACTATTGGAGATCTTGTGAGCAGTTTGAGAACCAACATGATGGCTTTGAACTGTTGATTAGTCAGTGACTCATCTCCAACCAATGCACATAGCTTGTCTTTGCTAAAATCTATGCACAGGGGGAAAAAATCATTCTCCATGTCTGATAAATAGTCTGTGACAGATGGCTTTAAATGTAAAATTTAATTTTTTTATGCATGAAATCCTAATTCTCTGAGGTTAAACCCATTCCACTTAGGCTCTGGCTTTACCAACTAATGGAGGATCTCAGTAATCAGGACTATGACTAATGAAAAATTGCTGCCTGAAACCTTTGGATAGCATTAAAGGTTATGTCAGTTCCTGTTCCTGCAGAGAAGGTGCCAACTGTTCCCTTGGAGAATTCCTGTTACACCAAGGGGACTTGAGGACTACCCCTCATGTTCTCCCTGCCTCACAGAAACAGTGTCGTGGTGACGAGAAGCTGAGGTTTGCTTGGATTGTTGCTAACTCTGCTCCCCTTGCTCTTCTGGGCCAAATTTTTAAAGACAGCCTCTAAACTGCAGGGACTCAGCCCCCCCAAATCACAGTTTGAACACAAAATCTGAATGGTGGGTGTACAGAAATGCAAATGCGGGGGTGAAGCCTTGGGCTTGGGATTCTTTGTTTTCGGTGCATGCCCCGCTTTTCACAAACCTAACAGCCAAATCTTGGCAGCCCTTACTCAGCCAAAACCCCCCTTTGACTTCTAAGGATCAGTTCCTATAGAAATAGGGTTTGAACAACGCCTCCCCCAGCTTAAGGTAACTGGAAAGGCTTCCATTGATGTCTCTGGGACTTAGATCAGGCCCATAAATAATAAAATATTCTTTGAACATGAGGACACCCTGTAATGTACCAGTGACACCCCCGTAATTTTGTTAGTACATGTCTTCATTATACACAAGTCAATGAACAGACATTTTTTAAAACAATGCCTCTGACACGCAGAGTATGTATGTCCCATCACAGGATTTTGAAAATGTGCAACCAGGCATGTGATTTTAGAACCTGGCTCCACAATGGTGAAAAGCAGTGGGTTACTGCAAAACGTGATCTGGCATAATACCAACTCTTGGATCCACCTTGAGAAAATCTTGTTTTTAAGCCAATTAGACTCATAGACTTTTAAGGCCAGAAGGGACCATCGTGATCATCCAATCTCATCTCCTGCTCATCACCGGCCACAGAACCTCACTCAGCCACTCTCGTAATAGACCCATAACCTCTGGCTGAGTTACTGAAGTCCTCCAATCACGATTTAAAGACTTGAAGTTACAGAGAATCCACCATTTACTCTAGTTCATACTGGCAAGTGACCTCTGCCCCATGCTCCAGAAGAAGGTGAAAATTCGCCCATATTAGAAATAGGTATTACAAATCAATGCTTGTTCCACTTCCTGCCCTCGCTATGGGATTTTAAACTAAGTGGTGAAACTTTTGGCCCATGATTTTTATCTTGACAATGTCCCTTTCAGAGATACACTTAAATCTTTTGCGTGTATCAGACTTCTTTCCCCCTTCAATTATTTTCATAATAGTCATAAAAAGAACCCACCCGCATCCCGGAGTCGAAAGTGTACAGAATGAGAATGATGCAGTTAATACAAAAAAACTGGGGGGGTTCTAATCAAGTGGAAGAATCCCAAGGATGGGTTCTCAGGAGTCCACTCCTGGTGAAGAGCAGAAAAAGGGTGAAGTAGTTTCATGTGAAGAAGCGACTAATGTCCTGTAGGCCTTCAGGTATTTCTAATTCCTTTCTGGATGTTGTGGTCTTAGTGAGAATTCTGGGAATTGCTCCATACTAGCTCCAGGAGAGAGGTCTCAAGTTTATTTTGAAGTCTGTTGCAGAGAGAAAGGCTACCCACTGTTGGCTGGGCACCTGCCAAAGGCTTTTAGCCTAGAGGATATTGATAGGCTGTCTAAGATCAAATAATTAGGCTTGAGTCAGTTCTCACTGATCTGGTTCACTCGGGGTGGCTGGATTGACTTCTCTTGAGTTACTCCTGATTTACAGAGGTGTAAGTGAGATCAAAATAAGGCCCTTGTGTTCAGACTGCGGCTTATCTGTTTATTAATAAAAAGCACAAGATCAAGGAGAAACATGGGCTATTTCATAACAGATCCTTACATTATCTCTTAGCTGATTGTCATAGTATTTCTTCATTCTCCCTGATCTAGCTATTGTAGAAATCGGTTCTCCTGGCCCTTTGCTCACCATTTGTTCCTTTCTCTTAGCCACTCCTTGCAAAAATGATTGGCTTTAAAGTGTATAATAGTATTTATTTTGATCTTGGAAGAAACAAAGAAATATTATACAGTTTCTGTTTCCCTGCATTTATTAGTTCACAGGTGCTCCAGACAGAGGGTTTGGTGCCATTAAACAGGCAATTTGATCAGTATTATAGCTACAGAATTCATCCCTTTAAAGCAATGCTTTTCCATTTTAAATCATTCCATAACAGGGCCGGTTGGAATGTGGTCCTTTTAGGGTGATATTCAGTACTACATGCAAGACCTATGCCCTGCAGTTAGGTCACAAGAAGCAGTGGATATGTCTTGTGGCGGCCCTCTGCACCAGGGTGAATTTCACCTGGGGTTCTTTAGAGATGGAAACTTGACATATACAAATTTTCAGTGTGAAAGAACTTATTTCATTTATAAAGTGTGACTGAGATGAATGACCTTGGGTTTTGTTGTTGATGTAGGACTCATTGGTGGTTTCAGAGATACAAGATCACTTGTTCATATTCACTCCTGCCACTTCCATTAGGCTAAATATTAAGCCTCCAAGAAGAATCATAATTGAATCCCTCATCTTTTGTCAGTCAAAGTCATAAGATGAACATAGTAAGTGCTATACCAGCCCAGAGATCCATTTATTATCAGCCTGTCTCTGACAAAGGCTAATGCCAGATGCTTCAATAGAAAAGGTACCCAACAGCCTAAGGTACTGTAATTATGTACAGTACCTTGCTAGGGAAATTTCATCCTGACCCCAGCTGGTGATCATATGTTTGCCCTGAAGCATGAAGATGAATGGCTCTTGTGAGGTTATTTTAATTATCTTAGCTGCAGATGCTGTTCTTATTTATATGCATGTAATTTATTTTTAAAGTTACTAGAGGCCCAACAGAAGAGTCCATTGGTAGGAAGAATTTTCTTCTATAGATTCTCCAGATTCTCCTTGTCAGTCGTTCATTATTACTACTACTAGTAATAGCTGGAAGTGCATGCTGTCAGAGTCATGTGTAAAGAAAACCAAAAATGGTGGAGAACTTAAAAATTGGACATAAAGGACTGAATTCCAGTGATGATTGAACCTAGCGAATGGTGGCAACTGTGCATGTAACAATCTCATGGGTTGTATGAGCAAGACTGCACAGATGGTGGATCAGTTGGCAAATTAACTGTAAAGTAAGGATAGTAATTGGTTGAGTTACAATGGTCTAGGACTGTTGGCAGGGCATAGATACACCCTTTACTTTAGCTGGAAGCCCAAGCTGTTGCACAGGTGTAATTTGTAAAGTCAAAATGGTGAGAACTTAAAAATTGGACCAGATCGGACCAGCCCGCGAAACCCAGTGATGATTGAACCTGGTGATACTCTAAACAAAAAGAGCTCTCCACATGCCTGCAGCTGTTTCCATCACTTCACTTAGACTCAGACTTTCTAGGCTTCAGAGTGACAATCCTAGAATCTTACTATATAGATTGGGGATATTGATGGCCAGGTTCTGCCCTTGGTCACAGGTGTGTGACAATTGATTTCAGAGAGAGTGCATGAGTATAACTGAGGTTAAAATATCTGCTCAAATACCTGTAGTTGGCCCAGAAGGAACATGTGTGTATTTCTCATCATTACCTTTCTAACTGGATTCATGGGAGGAAAGCTAAGTAAGATTCAGGCCATAAAACGTACGCCTACAGGTTAGACAGTCCTTAAAAGTGCCAGCATCTCTGAAAAACGCTCCTTCTCTTTAACTCATCCTTATAATCACACTGATCAGT